TCCACCTCCAATCTTTTGCGAGCAGTGGTATGTACTTGTTTCAAGTATTACGTCCAGCAAGGACGACAGGGTACAGTGATTTGTTCCCACTGATACTCAAGATTAGTTTTATGATTTCCTTTGAGGCCCCAAATGGTATCCTCTAACTTTTGATTTGCTTCTTTAACAAGGTACCCCCGCTATCTCTTGATTGGGTCTGCCTCCACTGGGGTCTAGGGCCTCCATTTTTCCTCTCTCCCTCTCTCCTGTTCTTCCTCCCCCCCTGCCTCATGCTTTTATTCTCTCACCGTCTGAGCAGGGTTGAACGACTGGGACGCACACAGATTCCAAGGGTAGGTGATATATTTACATATATATATCCACCTGTGTACTATACCACTAGACAAATTCAAGTGGCTGTGTTAGAAGTTCAATGATGTTTATATCTTCTATAAGTCTTTCTTAAACTGTATAGACAACTTCCCTCTCCATCTCCTGAAGAAGCGCTATTTAGTGCGAAACGTTGAGAAAATCAAGCTCCTCCATCACCTTTCTTTATACCAATCATGTCATGTGTTCATGAATTCTTCAATTATCATGTGTTTCAATCATGTTTCATTGCATAAGTTTCTGAATGTTATCTTTATATGAATGAACTTAACTAATGTGGAGTGAGCTTACAGGGGAATCATGTTGTCAATTTTATCAATTCTACTTACCTTTTAATCCAATAAAATATATTTTTTCCAAAAAAATGTTTGGTTTGTAAGTTGTCAGTCGGCTGCCCCAAAAAAACCCCAACTCTGCTAATTTTTTTATGTACTATAAGTAAACCTACAAAAAACAACCAAAATAGAAACTAACTAGAAAAGGAACGGGAGGGTGCTAATTTTACAATATGAAAAAATTAATCATATATCAAATTAAACAGCATTTCTCAATAGATAAATCACTAAAAATAAATGTATATATAAGTCTGAAAATAAGTGTGATGAAAGTACATACACCAAATGTCTGGGTGAGTCGTTCAAGCAAATAGTCCTTGTGCATAAATAATCACAAATATTTCATTCACTGTGCTAGTGCTCAACGTAATAAATATTTCAAGTACCACCCAGTGATCCACACTCCACCACCTTGTAGAGGGCAAACTCATGAAGCAAACAGGATCTCACACTCCAACCCTTGATTATCAGCATCTCTTATCCAGATCTATCCCCCAATATTTTATTCATACAAAAACAGTGGTAAACAAATCCATAGTGTACCTCAAATATATTAAGAAGAAGCTGAAAACTGTGTGTACACTTTTAAAATGTGCTCAAAGCACCGTACAACTCAACCACAAGTTTCCATCTCGTGTCCTAGTTGGCGTCACTCCTGGCGTCCCTATCTGAATGCTGATAATCAAGGGTTGGAGTTTGAGATCCTGATTACCTAATTCATGGATGATCATGACCATGCACATTGGACTTTTGGTAGTAAAGATCCAGCTGTTTTGGCGAGTTTACCCTCTACAAGGTGCTGGAGTGTGGATGACGGAGAGTGGCGCTTGTAAAATTATGTTTGCATTGAGCACAAGCACAGTGGATGAAATATTTGTGATTATATATGCACAGGGACTATTTTCTGGAAATATATAGAGATTTGGTGGATGTACTTTAATCATACAAAGACTTGTTTTTTGAGATTACTTTGTTGGGCCGCCTCGTGACTCCACGAGATGTTGAAAGGTGATGCGAGGAATCTGACACTGCACTGTTGCCCTTCTGTTGTCTTGTACCAGTCTTGCCACTCTCCGTTCTGCCCTAACTTGACTAGTCGCTGACAGCCATAATTCACACATTCAGACCCAGATTTTCAGCTGACAGTCCAGTCTTTAAACACTTTAACAACAGCTGCTCTTGAACATTTAACGAATTCTGCTGTATATATATACACACACACACATTTATTTTTTCATATAGTGATTTATATATTGGGAAACACTGTTTAGTTTGGTATATGATTAATGCAAGCATGCATGTCTATGTCTTGAGATAAAGATCTATTGGCAAGGTTGGATTGATAAGATGATTATTTACCGGTGTAGTCCAGGGTATCCTCTGTAGTTGTATTTCTCCCACTGGCAATCATCACATGATACTGACAAACTTGCAATGATCAATCATTTAATGTCTATAGTCCCTCCAGAGATGATCCAACCTGGTGATGTCTTCTACTATAACACTATTGAGAACACCTGTAGCAGCTGCCTTTGTTGCACAAGAGACACATGCATATATTCAAATCCAGAATGAGTTTACAAAAAGGTTGTTTATCTAAGTATAAGGAGATTTACAAAAGCTATTTAGGTCTCTCAATAAAGCACTGCTGCCTCATGCAGAATCTGGGAATCCATCAAACAAAACTGAACTGCTGAGAGTTAATAATACCTCCCAAAGTAGTAGCTCAGTCCTGCGCAGATTTCTTCTTAAAAAGACGAATCTGTCATGTGAGACAAAGCCTTGGTGGGAATATGGGGTGCCTTTCTTTCCTATCATCCACAAGCAAGATGACAAGGATTAATGACTGCTCCCATTTGTAGGTAGAGCTGGTGGAGGGGGGGTTGTGGAGCAACTCTCAACCTTTTCCGATGAAGCAATTTATCTCAGGAGAGATCATTCCTGTCTGTTCAGCTACAGCATATTAATTTTGTCCAAAAACAAAAAAAGATGCTAAAGAGAAGGAGAAAGGAGGGGGGCAATAGTTTGGAGCAGGGCCAGGGACAAATGAAGAGCTGCTTATATTGTATTCCTTGTGAGCCAAAGTTAATTGATCTGCCAGTGGCACTTCTCTGCCAATGGTAAGCTGGGAATATCCAACCATTCAAAACCTCCCATCAGTGAACTTCACAGGGGCCAGTCCTACTTACAAGTTCTGGTTCTTTCATGAAGCACAAAGCAAAGGAAAGTATAGTACAACAGCTCGAGGTATCAAACACAACATGTTCATTCTCTTTTTAGAACTGTAACATTTAAGAAGATAATAAACAGAAGCGCAACCATAAAATAAACAGCAATGCATGCCATAATCTGTGTAATCCACTCTGTCCAGAATCAAGAAAGCACCTCACAGGTTTGCTGGGATTTGATGGGAAATGTACCTTGTGATGCCTTTGACGCCTTGAATCTGATTGGTGGTAGTCAGAAACTCCTTAGTACTGACATTTATTTTTTTTCCGCAGAGAAACCGAGGAGTCTTCTTTGGATGTATTTAAGTGTATGCAAAGCCTAAACATTTTACTTTTGGAAAGAGCAGGAAATGCTCCCCTGTCATTTTTTTTCTGCCCATAGGACAGCGATGGTGAACCTTTTTGAGCCCGAGTGCCCAAACTGGATCACTAAACCAACGCACGTGTCTCAAAGTGCCAACCCTGCACTTCGACCCAAATACTGATGATTTATTTTACAAACACGCTCCATACCATTATTTGAACTAATTATGTGCTTAAGGCGGGCCTATGCATTTGTTTGCATGGGCTCTTGGGGGCTGTGCAGCTTCCAGGTGGTCCATAAGTGCTCTTAGGTGGGCTCTGCGGTTGTCTGTATGGGCTCTTGGGGGCTGTGCAGCTTACAGGTGGTCCATATGTGCTCTTAGGTGGGCTCTGCGGTTGTCTGTATGGGCTCTTGGGGGCTGTGCAGCTTCAAGGTGGTCCATAAATGCTCTTAGGTGGGCTAGATGGGCCCTGCAGTTGTGTGTATGGGCTGGAGGGGGGATGGGCTGTGCAGCGTCCAGGTCATCTAAAAGTGGTGGTCCTTAAGTGGTCTCTAAGGAGGGCTATGCGGCTCCTAAGGGCAGATCCAGCTTTCTAATTAGATGGCCACTCGCTGCTGGCTAGGGCCCTGTGAGGACACACAGACATCAATAAAAAACCTGACAGGGATTCCAACCCCTTCAGACTACACAAACCTACAAAAATGGCTTTACATAAACTTTAAGAACAGCTATTCTGCATATCACCAGAGAACAAACGGGAGTGGATAGATTAATGAATTGCAACTATGCTTGGACACAATACTGAAGTACTTAGTAAGTAGCATGTGCTTCCTGTAGGCTTGTCAAAGTTTATTATTCCATATTGTCTGCAGTGTACTATCAAACCTAGCAAGATGCTCAGTATTTACATCTGTCTACACAGCTAAACTGCATTTGCAGCAAACATGTAATATGTATCTATGATGGACACTGATAAAACTTTTACAAATTGTAATTTACTATGACCTTTCCTTCCATCTGAACACAAACATTCCTGTAGTTTGAAAGCTATCACTTGTGCTTACAGGGTGATGCAACAAGTCAGTTTTATTGGCCCCCCAGTCCAACTACACATACTCACTTTTTCTCCATACTTTGAGAGTGAAGAAAGAAAGCCCTGTGTAAATTTCGAGTTCCTAAGGTTGGAGCTTGTGTAGACGAAGCTTACACATGGCTAATGACTTTCTCCCTGCCCTCATGTGACAGTGCTGGGCAATCATCAAGCACCACTGCTGTCACATAAGAGAAAAGGGAGTGACACACATGCTTCTCCATACCTAGACACACATGCTTCTCCATACCTATAAGTACTGGGTACTGCTGGGGAGAAAAGCATTAAGGCAAACCTTCATGGGCAAAACAGACCAGCTGCTGTCACTTACAGCTGTTTACTATCAAAGCCATGTAATCACTATCTCATACTCATAGCTGATTTGGTGATCACATGATCATGAACCATGCAGATCAGTTGCTGACTAGTAGAAACCAGGAGCTGTCAATGACAGTATAGTCTACAGCTAGGTTGGTGGTGCACACCCTTAGATCTCAAAAATCTGAATGCAGATTAATGTTCCCTCAGCATGGGACGTCATATTGCGGAACATAAATCTAGAGATTGCAGATGGGATAAAAAAAAAAAGGCAGGCAAAAGTTTCTTAACATGAATGGACTGAGAACCACTGGCTCTGACATACATTACATATACAGTGCACATATTTATTTACCTTGAATTTCACTGCTATGACAATCCTAGGAAGAGCGAGGATCAAACACTTCAAGGACACCGTTATGTATTTTAGAACAAAGTCTGAGATGCCAACTATCCACATTAGCTCAAAGAAATCCAAACCCTCCAAATTGGGTTTCAGAAAGATAAGACTGTAAATGAAAAGCAAACAAATGAATGCTCAGTACATGTATTTTATAGTAAGAATATTATAAAACGTCTTAATAATAAATAGATTAGACCTATAATATAGTAGAACATAAAGGCAAATTTAATGATTACACTTGTGTTACATGAGAAGTGTTAGTTATAGAATTCAGTGCTTTACTTCTTGCACATATCATCGAGTGCTGGTGACTTCTATTATGATATGAGTTATAGAAATCAAACATTTCTACCTTCAAACATTTCTGTTCCTGAAGTGCCATGGCAAGACCTAGTACAGTGAAATAGCCTATAGCATATGAATTTTCTGGAATTGCTAGCAAAATTCTCATAAAAATCTGGCCTGATTTATCGAAGTTGGAGGAACGGAAAACTTTATGTGTTGCTCATGACAACCAAATACATTACTTTATTTGCTTTGGAAAAATGAGTTGTGAAAGCCGATCAGTCACTATGGTGCAAAAACATACTTTTATGATTATTGAATAAAGCAGTTCAAAGGTGAAAGCACCTTTTATTTTTCTTTATTAAAAAACCTTTAATATTCCTCCACGTTTAATAAATAAAGTCTATTGTGAGCATTATAAGTATCTTGTTTTTCATTGAATCATAAATACTGATGAATATTTACATTTATCGATCATGGGACAGCATGGTGGCTGAGTGGTTAGCACACTTGTCTTGTAGTAGTGAAGTTCTTATTAGGGGTGCACCGATACAGGTATGTTGGTACCGAGCATGAGTACCGATACTTTTTTCGGTACTCGCCGATACCAATTACCGAGTACCGGAAGTCCCATTCAGGAAGCCAGGTGGCGTGTAATGACTCGCCACCTGGCTTCCTGATTAGCCGGGCAGTGTGTAAAGACTCGCCACCCGGCTTCCCGATTAACAAGAAAGCCGTCCCATACGAATCCCCATAATAATAGTAATATCCAGCACGACTCTGCAGTGCGGATCTCTGTCCCCTCTTACCTCGGCATGTCCAGCCTGTTACCCCCGGGGCCTCTCCAGCCAGGAGCGGCCTTCCTCCATTACCCAGCCGGAGCCATCTTGCTGGCCAATCATGGAAGCCGTGCGCCGTGTAATGACGCGGCGCACTGCTTTCTGATTGGCCGGGAGGCCGGCTCCATGCTCCCTCGTCATGAGATGACAAGGGAGCATGAAGCCGGCTTCCCGGCCAATCAGAATGCCGGGCGCTGCGTCATTACACTGTGCCCGGCTTCCTGATTGGCCAGCTTCCCGACCAATCAGGAAGCCGGGCAAATACTCGGTATCGGCACTGATATAGATACTAGTATCGGTATTGGTGCATCCCTAGTTCTAATACCACCCACATTTATTAGAAAACATTGAATATTCTACTAGAAGCACGCACAAGGTTGTGTACAAAAATGTGCATACCCTAGCACATACCCCTTAAATCGTGACATTTTGGCATTGATATTGAAAATATGACTGATCGTGCCAAAAAACTGTCTTATATTTAGTGCTAGTGATCGTATGAAGCCATTTATTTTGACATAGTTATTTGGCTCCTTTTTAAACCATAATGATAACAGAAAACACCCAAATAGCCCTGATCAAAAGTTCACATACCCTGGATGGAAATTAAAGGTTAATTTCCCACATCTGTGGCTTTTTAAATTGCAATTAGTGTCTTTGTATATATAATCAATGAGTTTGTTAGCTGTCATGTGGATGCACTGAGCAGGCTAGATACTGAGCTATGGGGAGCAGAAAAGAATAGTCAAAAGACCTGCTTAACAAGGTAATGGAAAAGTTTGTACATTTTTAAGAAATCTTACTGAATTATTACTAGGTTTTAACTTCCTTTCCCAATCCAAATGAGTACAGGTTGGTTAACTGGCTTATACCTATCCTAGCCCTAGAGTGTGCAGTTTCATGCATATATAACAGCTGAGCACAGAAGATTCGGTAGTAATACACAGAGCCTGTGTATGTAACAAGCAAAGGTGGCTACTCCAATGTACATTTACTGTATAAATACAAACTACACTGCCAACATTTTTTTAAAACATTAACACACAGACATACCATCATTATTGTCACTTTAATCATTTTACATACATGTTTAGATTTATTAAGAGGATAACTTTCCTTCCCTTTAACTTTCACAGGCCATCAGAGAACTGTTTGAAGTATTGGCCTTTATCTATGAGTAGAACTTGGCAGGAGCTGCTAAAGACACACTCAGAACTAAGTAGGTATTCAAGGCAGTTCCTTTCTTAACCACTAAACCATCCATCACGGCTGTTTACAGATAAGGGTTGAGACTCATTACAGTCCTGTGCTCTTCCTTAGAACATACCCGGCTTAAGGCTTATTCACACCATCTCTGTGAATAAGAGGAAATAGGTTTTTTGTTTTTTTTAAATTTTATATGTGGTATATGAATATAACAGGTCCTCTTTAATAATTATAGCAAAAGCTTATTGTTAAGTAAACAAAAAGTGGGGGAAAAAGTTGGATGTCCCTGAATGCCTTGGTTTGCAGTTCATGATATCATCCACAAATAAGCCAATTAGAGCATTACAATGCGAGAAGGGTGCCCTCCGGGGATTTGTTGCCTCTGAAAATTGCCCATTACCGTTATACCTGTAATCTAAGTTGTTGTAAAGACTAAACTATCTTATTTGACAAGATTTAGTCTCAGGTATAGTGCACACTCCATTGCACAATAACCTGTCAAAGGAGACAATGAAATTGCCTACATCTGTTCCATGGCTCAGATATTAAACGAAAGGGATCAGAAGCATGAGGAGACAACTAAATGAATTGTCAGTGTGATTGTCTGTCTGTGAAGCAGAACAAAACATAATGCATGTTTAACACGTTAATAGAGGCCAATCTTAGCCCAGTGTCTCTCACAAACAAAGGATAAAAAGCATACTTAGTTATAACTTTTAGTGGCAAATACAATTGTTAAGAGAGTTCAACTTACTGGCAACCCCCCTAACAAGCATAATCAAAGTATAATTCCATGCAAGTGAAGAATTGTAAAAATTTGTTTAAAATTGTAGGCGATACTGGAAGGATTTTACTTTAGTATGCAAAAGCAGTGGTGGAAGATGTTTCTGTGGTACTGAAACAGTTTTGTACATACAAACTTATATAAAGCGGACCTGTCTGCAGAAGCCAAGTCACAATACACAGCAACAGTATAATGTTTTAAAAGAAGATGTTTTTAGAAGTCCTTGGGCTTCAGTTGTGTTACTGTGCCTTGATTAAACGTGAATGTAAACGGGTCTGTTAAATGTACCATTACCGGACATTTAGTAACTCTGTTCATTACGTGCAAGAAAATACCTGCTGATCCTGCCAAACATACCCGCAGATTCTGCCAGTGCACTATGTAGCCCTATCTCAATGTTATCAGCAAGTGTGTTGGGACCACAGAACAGCTCTCTCCTATGTTATAGAGAAGAGGAGTAGGATTTCTGTAGTTCTCTCATACTTCCTGCCCTAGGTTTACAATGGTTTACAATGCTGCTGCTCCATGCATACAGTACAGTGAGCGAGCTTTGAGACCCCATGTACTTGTGTAATAAAGGAGAACTATGAGGTGAGTGATTTTCACTCATCCTCATAGTTCGAGCCGACGTGCGACAATGAAACTGTCACACGGCTGCTCAATAGATCGGGAAGTGAGCTTCTCGATCATGTCCCTGCAGAGAGCCGTGAGTGACAGTCATGGCTCCCTGCAGGGATTTCACCCCCTCCCTGATCCTCCAGCGCTGACAGGCAGAACAGACGGGGTGGGTACAGCTGGCTCTGCCTCTAGATAGGCAGAGCCAGCTGTCAATAACGCAGCTGGGTGGATCTCGACAGTAATGTCGGGATCCGTCCCAGCTGCTGCGGTCTCAGTATACTGCGAGCTGTAGCTTGCGATATACTGAGCTTTGGGTCACGGGAGGACGCTAGTTTATGTCCTCCCGTGACCCTTAGGAGAACTATATGGAAAAACAATTACCCCATAGTTCTTTAAGCTGTAAATCCTCAAATCATCTCTGAATTGGTGCTGACACGGTCCTTCCTTCTGGAGGGTGGCTACTGTTAATTACACATTTTACATAATAAATTAGCTGCTTTACATATCTGCATGTATTTAAAGGAGAACTATGAGGTGAGTGCTTTTCACTCACCTCATAGTTCTAGCCGACCTGTGACAATGAGACTGTCACAGGTCGGCTCAGTAGATCGGGAGGTGAGCGAACACATACCGGGTTCGCTCGCCTCTCGATCCTGTCACGGCTCTGGCGTGCTGACTGGCGGAACGGACGGGGGAGGTGGCGGGTACAGCTGGCTCTGTCTCTAGATAGGCAGAGCCAGCTGTCACTCACGCAGCTGGGCGGATCCCGTCATCTACGTCGGGATCCGCTCCGGCTGCGGGAGGACGCTAGTTTGTGTCGTCCCGTTAACCGAAGGAGAACTATGTGGAAAAACACTGACCCCATAGTTCTCCTTTAAAAAGTGCTCCATCTGCAGCAGTTCTTACAGATTGCGAGGATAAATGTAATCCCTTAAAGGAGAACTATGGGGTCAGGGCTTTTCCCAATAGTTCTCCTTTGGGTAACGGGAGGACACAAACTAGCGTCCTCCCGTTACCCTAAGCTCAGTATACCGCGAGCTACAGCTCACGGTATACTGAGACGCTGCAGCCGGAGCTGATCCCGACATCGATGTCGAGATCCGCCCAGCTGCGTGTGTGACAGCTGGCTCTGTCTATCTAGAGGCAGAGCCAGCTGTAACCGCCCCCTCCCCGTCCGTTCCGCCAGTCAGCGCTGGCGGATCGGAGCGGGGAGGGGGGAATCCAGCCCCTCTCCTGTCATGGCAGAGAGCCGTGACAGGATCGAGAGGTGAGCGAACGCCAGTATCTGTTCGCTCACCTCTCGATCTACTGAGCTGACCTGTGACAGTCTCATTGTCACAGGTCGGCTAGAACTATGAGGTGAGTGGAAATCAC